GGTAAATAGAAAAAATGGAAAACATAGAAATATTACACTAAAGTGTAAGGTAGTGATTCTGATTGAGAAGGTTTTGCTGGTTCTGGTCCACTGTTGATAAAATGTAATCTTGTTSTCTACAGACTGGTGTGTTGGATGAGGGTCAGGAGTATAATTAGGCCTCTTTGTTATGTTCATATTACAGCTGTGTTGCAGGTTTGTTTGTTTTGATGGCAGTTATATAATTCATATTAGCCTGATCCAACCATTAAACAAGCTGCTGCCTTGTGTTTCTGCTAACAGCAGTGCACAKCTGGATGTTCAGATTGACTTCCTCACATGTGTTGCCTTTAAGGAGATCCTCATCCACGCACAACTGTCCATTCAGAACAGGCATCTGTGGTTGTTATACTGTATATTGTCTACTGTATTTACTTCAGAATTTTTTGCAGACATCTGCAGCCCATTTTCTACTCGAGCTAATTTGAGTTTTGGAGGCTAAGTGTGATGTTTGTTTATTTTTGCCTAGATGACTTTCAGATTCTTCCTCTGGGCTTCAGCAGAACTCTGGACCACTTTAACCCAAACATCCCAGAGTGGAGGGACGACGTTGGCCAGGTGGTCACCAAGATGCTGGCTAAGGTAAACTCTTACAAACGTTGTTCTGTTCAGTTCATTTAAATTCACTCATTTGATGCAAAACTAATAAAAAACTTGTCTTGGTATTATGAATAAAAACTAAATATTCAAATAAACAAATTGAGGTCTAAGTACAAATATCAACAAAAAAATGACCTCCAGTATAACAAAATGCAGAATAGATTTAAGTTGAAAGGGAAATTTATCAGACCAACAGATATTTGGTTTTRCAGTACTTCATGCATTTGCTAACATTCTACCTTTTTTAAGCACATTCTTGCTACTTTATGTGTGTTTTTAAAAAAATGTCAAATAAATAGAGTTGTAGAACTTTGTCCCTGTGTGCCTTTTGGTTTTGCTCAACAGCATAAAAGACTAAAGTTGTTCTGTTGTGGTGAATAAACTACCTGCTGCAAGAAATTACAACTGTACAGAGAAGCTGTTTGTTGTATTTACCAATGTTTTTTCATGTTTTTTATGTGTTGTCATGATAAAATTGAATATCTTTGGTTGCATCCAGACTCAAGCTAATTTTAATGAAATTAACATTTTATCTGAGCACTGTTTCATATTCAAGCGCTGACTGCAGTTAGCTTTTGGCTGACAAACTGGTCTCTTTCTGAATATCTTCTCAACTGAACGAATGGAAAAAGGTGGAAACAAACTTGTGAGGAGAGCARAAAGTTGTTAGGCTGACATATTTTAGGCATCCTGACCAACTCCATAGATCTGCACGKGCCTTAAAATTAAAATGTATGGTTCTTTTGTTGGTTTTAACACTTGTTACATTTACTTTGGGTTTGTGAGATTTGAAAATCATGCATTTAGTTTTTAGTCAGTCTTGTCCCCCTCCTACAGCGCTGCTATAGCCAGTATCACTCCACCCCCTGTTAACAATAGATGTTAATTAGGTGTCAACGATAGCCATGTGATGTGAGTATCAGTCACATGGAAGCAGGGCTTAAAAGCCTGAATTTTGCCTGAAACTCTCAGACTGAAGAAGTCTGTTGGAGGAGAGACGAAACGTTTCATTAGAGAAGAACTCGTCCAGAGGACCTATACAATTTTTTTCTTTTTGATTTTTTACCTGGATTACTGAGATGCATCAGGACATTTAGTCAGTCTTCTTTTTTTAGCTTGTTTATGTTSGGCAATATTTATAAAATTATGTTCATCCCTTTCAGCAACTATTATTTCTTTTATAATAGTTGGCATAGAACATCTGGTTTATAAGAATTTACTGTACTTTTGGTACTACTATAATTGGATGCTCAGTTTACTGTGTTAGTGGCTTCTTCTGAACCACAGTTTACATAATAAATAAGATTGAAAACGTGACCTCTAACTCTGTGTTCTTAGATCACAGGTGTTCCTCAGGAGTCTATAGTTATTGTGGTGAAACCGGGTCTCCCCACCACTGCTGACCTTTATGTTCTACCACTGGACAACAAACCAGCCAAGAGGAGTAAATTTGTYGATAAGGTACAAACTCACAGARGCTCAAACATTTACACAACAATATRAAATTCGTTGGTAGAATCATTTTTCTAATKTATTTCTAGAATAAATGAAGGAAGGTGCACTGATTAAAATTTAGTTCAGGAAGATTTTTTCTAAATATATTTTCTCCTGTCTAGCGTATTCCAGCGATCGTGCAGGCGTTTAATGACAAGAACGTCAGCTTCATGGTCCGAGGTGGTCTACGAGTGCTGGTGATGTTAGCTGATCCTAATGCAGGTTTGAAGAACTTCTTTTCTTTCCAACCCCAATTAAATATTAGGACTTAAAGAACTGCAGRCCCAACTGGTAAACCCAAACATTCAACCTGTAAATTTGAATTTATTGTTTTTCTGTGGTTTGAAGAAAACTAAAAAAAAAATGTACTTTTATACATAATTACCATTTACAAGACGGGTGTCAAACTCATTGTCACAGAGGGCCACATGAGCATTATGGTGGCCCTCCAAGGGCCAGTTATAAATAACTTTGATGTTTCATATTTCAACTTAACATGAAACATTTTTGTCTCGTTGCTATGGCTGAACACCACTAACAAACAATAACTGAGCTCTACCTGGTGTTTCATGCATAGAAACAGTGTTTTAACGCGTCCTCTTATAATCACTAAAAAGTGCTACATATACGACTGACTAAATGTGAAATGAATGAAACTGAAATACTGTTAAAAGTTAAAGGAAGAGTTTTAATCACGGTTGAGTTATGGTGAGTAGCTGCCATCTTGAATTCTGAATTCCTACGTTGTGACAGAGAATTCCCCTACATAATCCATGTGCATTATGGGAGCTGTAGTTTGTGGTCAATGCTAGCTTTAAAGCAGCTTATTTGGAGACGTTAATACATGACTGTTCAACTGAACTGCAATGGATCACAGTTACTTAAAGACAACAGCAGATAGACAAGTATTATTGTTTCACCTTTTAAATTTATTTTATATTGTTGCATTGAATCATACTGTAAATTTAAAGTTTACCTTTGATACAAAAACTATATATA